AAGAGATTTATTTTGCTTAAAAATTGACCGTTAAGAAAAAAGTGCAAAAGGCAATGACACTTTCAACAAAGAATGGGGAAAGTAAAGAAAGTTGCATTTGTGCTAGGTTTGTGATAAAGAGGTGGTTTTGGAACTGTGTACTGCAAGTGATCGGAAGGTACTAAATAGTACAATGTGGTATTGGGTGAACTGATTTTGCTAGAAATCTGAAACTTGATATAAGGGTGGCTGTTTATGAGAAGCCGGGCCATATGGAGGTGGTTTCGGAAACATGTACCATACATGTACGAAAAGCACTAAATGGTACTTTATATGGAATTGGGTGAAGGGATAGGGATAAAACTCTAAAATTTTTATAGTTAGATTTGCCTATGGTATCTGTGTTTGAAATTGTGTGGTGGTTTAGAAATGCGTCCTCTTTTTGTACGAAATGTACTAAGTAGTACTATATTTGGCACAATTTGGTATTGGGTGAACAGATAGTGCTTGAAATCTGAAAATTGGTAATTGGGTCGATGTTCATGAGTAGCCTTGACAAGTGCAGGTTCTTTTGGAAGTATGTGTTATAATTGTACGAAAAGTACTAAATGACACCAAACATGATCTTGGCTGAAGGGATAGAGATAAAATTCGGAAATTTGATATTTAGATTACTGATGATATTTGAGCTTGAGATTTGGCGTTGATTTTGCATATGTGTACTATAATTGTTTGAAAAGTGCCAAGTGGTACTACATTGGGTACCACCCCTGGGCGAAGGTGTGAAGGTATAGGGCTGGAAACCTGAAATGTAATATTGAGGTATCGTTTGGAATCTGCGATTGAGATTTGGAGGAGGGTTTGGAAATGTGTACTACAATTGTAGGAAAAGTACTAAATGGTACTCTATGTGCAAAAAAAAAAAAATATTGCCAGAACGGATAGTGCTTGGTATTAGGGTCGATGTTCATTAGTAGCCTGGACAAATGGAGGTAGTTTCGGAAATGTATACCATAATTGTACGAAAGGTAATGAAAGGAACTATATTTGGTATTGGGTGATGGAGTAGAGATACAACTCTGAAATTTGATATTTAGATCATCTGATTGTATCTGTGTTTAAGATTTGACGGTGGTGTGGAAATGCGTCCTCCATTTGTACGAAAAGTACTAACTGGTACTAAACCTTGTATTACGTGAAGTAATAGAGATGAAATCCTGAAATTTGTTTGTATCTGGAATTGAGATATAGAGGTGGTTTAGGAAAAAATTGTTATAAAAAAGGACTAAGTGGTCGGTCCGTCTGCCGAAATCATTCTAGCTTCCATACGAAATGTTATGGGTTGATAACATTTTACTCAGATGTGTTTTTAGGTCAAGAGGATTGTTTTAGGTCAAGAGGATTTTTGGTATTGGAAATAGGCTTTATATGCCCACGTTTTGGTATAGACCCCAGTTTGTGTTCCCAATACGTAGGTAACCTCCTTGCAGGGAACTATGCATATAGGTCCAAGATGTGGCATAGCTCCCATATAACTTTACCTCCAGATATTCGGCATTTTATTGATTTATGTCACAGTTTTCATCAGAATTCTTTCAAATTGGGCACATGGAGTTCTCAATGGGTACAATCTCCTATGGCAAGAAATTTCCTGTACATACCCACGCTTGCGTATGGTCCCCATATAACGGCACCTCCCAATATTCGGTATTTTTAAGATTTTAGATACATTTTTCAACCGAACTATCTTCAACTTGGTGTTTGGAGTTCGTAATGGGCACCTTCTTCTCTGGCCGACGAAGGTCCACATTTTCGCATTGGTCTCATATAACTGTAATACCAGATATCCGATTTTTTTAAATTATACCGGCATAATTCAAAATATTTTACATTTTGCAAGTCCCTTCCAAATGGTGAAGGGTATAAAGAGTACGACCCGGCCAAACTTAGCTGCCTGCTTTTTACTTGTTTTATAATAATTTGTATTCGTAGAACATTTTTATAGCCCTTACTGGCATCTTTTATTATTCTGTGTTGCTTTATTTTTTTTTTCTTTTCTTTCCATATACCACAGAGATAAGATTCGCTGATAATGTCTTTGCTAATATTATATATAACGACCAGCAGTAAGCAAATACCCATAGACAAACAAAAAGCCATGTGACTCACATCGAACTGCCGCTGATTTTGAGGGTTATAATTGGCAAAGCTATTTCCGATAAGCCATTGACCAGAAAAATATGACTAGAATATTTTTTTTTAAAAAAGACTCATTTTTTTGCGGGAGATAAGGGTAAGGTTAGTTATTAAACTATTAAAAATACAATTTTTTGAAATATCGGAAATATGAAGCATTTGAAAAGAATAGATGATAATTGCAGATTGTGAAAAGATGGCCATGGTTTCAAAAAATAGTTTGAAAGTACAAAAATGCAGTCGAATGAAATCAAAGGCCTACGAGACACTCTTAAGGTGGGAATACATAAAGCGCTTATCTGGCGGGCTTAAGTCATCGGCTGGCTTCTTCGGAAATGAACAAAGGAGCATAGGGCCAAATTGGCACTAAGTCAACCTAAAACTCCTTTGTTCATCTATGAAGAAGCCAGCCGGTGACTTAAGCCAGCCAAATATGCGCTTTATGTGTTTCCACCCTTAGTCTTCAATCTATGCCTTAGTTGATAGATTTTTCATTTCCGAAATTTAAAATCGATTTTTAATTGATTGCATTATATCGAAATTCGACTTTTTTGAGATTTTCAACCATGGTTTAAAAATATCGTTTGAAATTGCAAAAATACCATCATCATAGATTTGAAAACTCAATAGAGAAAATCGATGTTCAAATAATTGTGTGAAAAGTACTCAATAAGAAAAGTTTATAATCGATATCGGCTGTGATTTTAAACGACTAAATTGGAAATCGATATTTCGATCGAAAAGATTGAGATCCTGATGGCGGAAGTCGAATGAAACTGAAGGTCGTCTTATGACCTCTACGATGCATTCATGCCCCTAATCTTTGTTTTAGTTAATAGATTTCCCTTTTCCGAAAGAAATTGAAAATCGATTTTTAGTTGATTGTAATAGGTCAAAGTTCGATTTTTTTTATACCCTCCACCTTGAGACCGAGGGTATGTTAACTTTGTCATACCGTTTGTAACATCCTTAAATATTCGTCGTAGAAAGTATGTGTATTCATGATCAGCATAAAATTCGAAGTCAATTGTCTATCAGTCCGTCCGTCTCCCTGTCTGTCCATCTGTTGAAATCACGATACAAAAAAAAAAAAAAAAAAAAACAATTGGCACACGAATTTCAATTGTGTCTAGAATGGTTGGTATTGAAATTGAGATATATCGGTCCACGTTCTGGTATAGCCACCATATAACGGTACCTACCGATATACGGTATTTTTATGACTTTCGCCACACTTTTTTTTTACCGATTTGTCTAAAAATTGGTATTTGTAGGTCTAAATGGGTTCTAGCTCCGATGCCGGAACATAGTATAAATAGGCCCATGTTTTCATATGGCTCCCATATAACGGTACCTCCCGATATTCGGTATTTTAATGTTTTTGAAACAGATTCCTCCACATTTGTCTAAAAAATGGTATTTGAAAGTAATAATATGTTCTAGTTCCCAAGGCGGAACATAGTATGTATGCGTCCATGTTTTCATATGGCTCTCATATAACGATACCTCCCGATATTCGGTATTTCGACGATTATTTGATAGATTTTTGTCTAAAAATTTGTATTTGTAGGACATAATGGGTTCTAGTCCCGGTGGCAAATATTGTGTGTATAGGTCCACGTGTTAGTTTAGCCCCCACAGAACGGTACCTCCCGATATTCGGTATTTCGATAATTTCTGCCACATTTTTCCAGGGATTTGTCCAAAAATTTATGTTTGTAGATCATAATGGGTTCTAGCTCCGGTGGCGAAACATAGTATGTATAGATCCACGTTTTCCTACAGCCCTCATATAACCGACCGATATTCAATATTTTGATCATTTTTTCCGCATTTTTTCATGGAATTGTAGTTTGTAATGGGTTCTCGCTCCGGTGGCGGAATATTGAATTTGTACGTCCATGTTTTCCTATAGCGGAAAAATGGTCACATTTAGCCCCGAAATTATTTCAAATTTGGTACACAACAATCCTTGAAGTTTCAAATGGTCTATAGAGGGTCCCGTTTTCGTATGGCTTCCTTATAACGGTCTCATCCATGTTATGGTATTTTGAAAAGTTTAGCAGCTTTATCCAAACGGTCTTATTGGTATTTGTGGTTTAAAGTGGAACACGTTTGAATTTAGATAATTTTAGATACAAATGTTTTTCTCACCCAATGGCGGAGGGTATACAAAAAGGCCCGGCTGAACTGCTGCTTTTTATTTGTTTTTAGGCCAAAGACTTTAAAATGTACTTTAGAAAAAAAATTAAAATTGGTTTAACCAATTACTGGAGGCAAAAACCGGCTTTATGCGTGCCAAGTAATTTGCTGACTTAAATCTACTACTACTTCAAACTCTTCTCGAAATTAGCTGAATTGATAATTTCCTTTTAACTTCCTTAAGTACCTAGTTTAGGCAGTGATCATTTACGTATCGGCAGAAGTAACAAATTTAAATGGCTAAAAAAATATTTTTTTTTTTTCAAATTTGGCTTAACTCTAGTTTGGTAAAAAATCTAAGATTTTTTTCGACAAAAAGTCAGAGGTCGGTATTTTTACCCTGATTCCGGGAAACTATTTTTTTCTTATGGGGCCCCAGAGTTTTGACCCGAAAGTCCGTGTTTAAGACCCATTTGTTGGATAGGTATTTTCATAAGCTTCCAAACGATATCTCTATTGTCTACCTATCTATCTATATAATCTCTGGTCCCGGGTCCGTCCCCAAGAAAAATACCCAACTCTGAATTTTGTTTTTTTGAAAAAATCGAAACACATTTTGTTGTTTAATTCTGAGAAAATTCAATATTAGTCATGACACAAAACAAACAAATAAAAAAACAAACCTTATTGATTTTGGTGGGTCTTGTGACCGGTACATCATAATCCAATGAACAGTAACCGCTTGATTTATCCAACATTTTGATGAGAATGTGTGTGTGTGTTTGGGTTTTTGGATTCAAAATAGGAATTTTTCGTTCAAAAATTGTTTCACCGAAATTCTGGGAAAAACACTTGTGTATTGGGAAGTTTTGAATTTCTTTTGCTTTTAAAAATCTACACAAACATGATTAACATTTTCATGGTTGATTGGAGATTTTGGTTTTTTTTATTTTTAGAATCTTCTTAAATTTCACAAGGATTTGATTCGAGCTCTCTTTAAATATATTTAATCCAGGACAATATAAATAAAGGAACTCGAAGAATGTTAACTTCACTTTTTTTTTGTTTGGTTTTCAAATTTTTAGTGATTTTTGCTCTCAAATCTGAGGATTTTGTTTCAATTTCATTTTTCGCTCTCTCAGTGTATTGATGTTGTTAAAATACCAAAATTTCGATTTTTTTGTGGAAAAAACACAATATCACGTTGTTTGTATTTCAATCATGTTTTCTTCAATTTTTTTTCCTTGGTCTGCATTTTTTATTGTCTTCGTTGTCAGATTTCTTTTGCAAAAACAAAACAGGCGACTTAAATCGCATTTAACACAAAATCAAGTTTGAAACAGACACACACACAGAAAAAATATATACTGGCAGAATATTGAAATACAGCACACACAGCAGGCAACAAAAGATCGAACGATGATCATCAGGCAAATATCAAAACATCATCATCATCGTGGTCGTGGTAGACGGTAGAAAAGGTTTCTCAAAAATTGCCAAAAATTTAACAAAACAAAATTTTCGGATAAACAACACAACCGACAAATATACGAATAGAAGAAACAATAACAAAAATCTGCTGGACCCGCTCACAAAAACCGCAAATGATGGACAGAGCGACAAACAGACAGACACAAATAGCCAGTTAGCTTCACTTCAATCCGACGCCAGGCCAAAAAGGTACGTGAATGTGATCACCGAATTTAAGATGTAAGACGTTCGTATCTCTTAACTTGGCTTTCGACTTCAAAACAAAGTTTTGTTGTTGTTTTTTCGGCTGAATATTTTTGCACTAATTTTTTTGTTTTCTTATTTTTCTAAGCACTTTTATTTCCTTTAGATAAAGACTTTGTATCGTTGTTGTTTTTTTTTCAACAATTTTTATTTGTTCACCTCGTTTTTATTAGCTTCAATTCATAGCTCATTTAAGGTTATTATTTTTTTGTTAGTAACTTCTTAACGTATTTTGTTTTCAACACTTGGTTATTTTGTCGTAAAATAAAATCGAATGAAACTTATCGTGTAAATGACATGGCCGGGTTTTATCGTCCGCACAACAAACCGTAATCCAGCAAGTTTCTCGCAGTACTAAGTTGTCTACTGCTGCAGATACATTTTGTACGCAGTGTGGTTATTCGATGTTGAGATACATTAAATGTTTAGATATTTTTTTGTTTACCTGAAATGTTGCGGCAACATGTTGCCAAAGAGAAGGGAATGGCCAACCTTTCTTTTGTTTTGGCCCCTTGCTAGAACACAAATATACATATGTTGGGAATTTTTCCAAATGGAAATTCCGGAAATATCTATCTTGTTATCTTAAGGACACACATAAACAATATCGAGATAACATCTATTCAACAGGTAACTTGGTTGGCCGCCAAACTGTGTTGGGATTTTATGTAAGTGGACAAAAAAGGGAAATAATCACATCCTTGACAAGAATTTCCGAAACTCGGTTTATGTCGTTTGATGTTTTACCTTAAAATGACGTGAAAATGGGAAAAAGGATTCCCATTGTCAAATAAATCCTTTTTCTTTTTGGGATTGTTTTTCAAAGGAATCAATGAAATGACAATAAGTTAGTGTCACACAAATGTGTGTGAAAACCATACCATACCCAATTCTTGGTATTGAAAAAATAATGTAATACTCGTAATAGGTATTTATGGGACCCTGGAAATTTCCTCAAAGGGTTATTTAGTGTCATATTTGTTTTTTAATGGTGGATTTTTTACGTCATGCAGAGAACGAAAACTTTCAGACTTACAATGTTTAATTCAAGTTTCACAACTTAACCACAGACACCAACAGTGACAGTGACTACAGGATGAGATGAAAAAACTGCTACCAACTTCAGACTGCTGTCATTTCTAAGCCACTCGTACGACAGCTCTTAAAATTATTCCAGTGACAGCTCATTATATTGTTTACAAGCGCAAAAGCATTTAGGTGAGAATTTTCCAGTAGAAAATTTTCGTGATGGAAGGAAGTGGACAGAAAAAACAGCAACATCAGCAGAAATGGTTCGAAAAGTAAAGAAGCGACTTGATCGAAACCCGCGTCGCAATAGCCGAAAAATGGCTCGTGAGCTGAACATATTGCAATATTTCATTCGCCAAATATTGAAAAATGAACTCGGGGTAAAACCATTCAAATGCCAAAATGTGCAAGAACTTACACCGCAACAGAAAGAAAATAGACTTAAAGGTGAACTGCCGAATTTGATTTTCTCCGATGAGAAAAAATCGTTGTATAGCAGTTTTTAAACAAACAAAACTATCGTGTTTACTTGCCAAAGAGGTCAGCTGAAAATGTGCACATTCGGTTGGCCATCAGAACTCAAGCGCAGGCCATGGTGGTTGTGTGGTCGCTCTCCGCTCGTATTAATCGACCGTGGCATCAGAATAAATTCCGAATATTATCGCGAAAATATTGTGGAGGGTGTATTAAAGCCTTGGGCACGCAAACATTTTGGCCGCAGATCTCGGACATTCCAACAGGGCTCAGCACTCGCCATCCAAGAATGGTTACAAAATGAGGTTTCTCGCTTCATTTTCAGCGCACAATGGCCACCAACATCTTCGGATACCAATCCGTTGGACTATTGTGTCTGGAGTATTTTGGAGAGCAAGGTTGTCACTAAAAAATACCAAAGTGTCGATCACCTCAAGCAAGCGCTTCACCGGGAATGGGCCAAAATACCGCAGAGCAACATTCGGGCAGTGTGTAACGTTTTCATTGGCGTTTTCATGTAAAGTTATTCTAAAATTTGATTCTATTTCCGACATTTGTTGCTATCATTCAAAAAATTAAAAAATAATGTTAAAAGTATGGCGTTCGACTTTGTTGCAGTTATTTTATCTCACCCTGTATATGAAATTTCGGGATCTCAACACTAGACATTCACTCAATACCAAATTTATTAACATTTAGTACTTTTCGAACTATTAAAGTACAATTACGATAGATAGATACAAACAAATGGTACCATATTTAGTACCATTTTACACAATTAGAGTACGCCTCTCCAAAACCTACTCCTCCTCTCAACCAAATTTCGATATTGCAGTTCTTTCCCTTCACCCCAATACCAAATTTAGTGGCACTTAATACATGTCGTACAAATATAATACGTATTTCCAAAACCACCTAAATATATCAATCACAGATACCAGCAGATACCTCAATTTTAAATTTCGGCATTTCAACCCCATCTCTTCACCCAATAACAAATTTAGTACCATTTAGTAGTTATCGTACATATATATGTGACCCATTTCCAAACACCGCCAAATCTCAAACATAGATATCGTCAGTAATCTAAATATCAAATTTCAGAATTTTATATCTACCCTTCCACCCAATAGCATATTTAGTACTATTTAGTACTTTTTGTACAATTATAGTACACATTTTCATAACTGACTTTATATATCCAGACTACACATGAACAGCGACCCCAATTCCAAATTTCCGATTTGTAGCACTGTATGTTTATCCGATTTCCAATTGTACCAAATATAGTACCATTTAGTATTTTTCGTGCACGTTTGTACACATACCCAAAACGACCAACAGGCATTTATTATGCGAATGTGATGAAATTTTTCAAACAAAGTTTGTTTGGCCCAAGGTGATAATCGGATCAGATTTGGATATAGCACCGATATATACCTTCAACCGATTTCGGGCTAATTGTGCACCAAATGACCAATTTCAGTCTAAAAGTCCTGGATTTTGGTACATCCGACCGAATTTTGTCTAGAAGTAAGTACCTCGAATTCGGAGAAAATCGGTTCAGATATAGCTATAGCTCTCCCACATTCGTAATATGCACTCCACAAGAATGATGTTTGGTATCAGATAATAGATTGTATCAAGATCGGTTCTGATTTGGATATATCTTCAACCGATTTCGGGTTAATTGTGCACCAAATGGCTAACATAAGTCCAAATGACCTAAATTTTGCATTACAATTACATCCAAAGTTTGCACACAGGTTTATTTTTACAGTAGGCAGGTTAAGTTCGTAAATGGGCCATGTAGGTCCACGTTTTCATATAGCCCGCATATAACGGTACCTCCCGATATTCGGTATTTTGATGATTTTAGCGACATTATTCACCGCAATTATTTCAAATTTGGTATTTGAAGTTCGAACTGGATACTACAGCCTAAGACAGAAAATTGTCTGTTCAGGTCAACGTCTTCGAATAGCCCCCATATAACTTTACCTCCCGATATTTGGTATTTTGATGATTTTAGCGACATTATTAATCGGAATTGTTCAAAATTTGGTATTTGAGGTTCGCAATGGATAGTACAGCCTAAGACAGAAAATTGTCTGTGCAGGTCCACGTCTTCGTATAGCCCCCATATAACGGTACCTCCCGATATTCGGTATTTCGATGATTTTAGCGACATTATTCACCAAAATGTTTTCAAATTACGCATTTAGAGTTCGTAATGGAAACTCCAGTCTGTGACAGAAAATTGTCTATGCAGGTCCAGGTCTTCGTATAGGCCCCATATACCAGTACCTCCCTATATTCGGTATTTTGACGAGTTTAGGTACAATACTCACCGAAGTTGTTTGAAATATCGTATTTGAAGTTCGTAATGGATGCTACAGAATATGACAAAAATATTGTCTACGCAGGTTCAGGTCTTCGCACAGCTCCGACATAGCGGTACCTCCCTATATTCTATACTTTGATGATTTTAGCTCCATTATTCGCGTTTATTTCAAGTTCCGAATTTGAATTTGGTAATGACTCATGACAAATAATGCCTGTGTGGGTCCACGTCGTATAGGCACCAATATAACGGCAATATTCGGTATTTTTAAAATTTTACCAAAATTTTTTTCAGGATTTTATTTCCAAATTTGTTCCAATATTCAAAGTTCGGTCCGGCCGAACTTACTGCTTTTTAACTTGTTTTTTTTTTTTTTTGAAAAATATTTTTTGTTAAGCCATAGATTTATTCAAAACCTCGCCCTTTGTTAAGATTATATAAAGGACCATACTAGAAGTTTTACAAGTATTGGACAAAAGAATTAAAAAATAATACTTTGTCATATGTTGTTATCCTGTGTAATACCCACACATTTTCTTCCTGACTACCATTTAATCTGTCCGACAACAAACTACGAACTGCGTCGTTATTCCTGTATTAAAATAATTTGCCCCATATTCTGCTTTGCGATTTACAATTGTAGGCTCTATTACACATTGCTACATATTTACATAGTTTATCATGGATCGCCTGGTGGTGTTGCTGTTGTTTTTGTTGTCACTGGAAGTGATTTAATATTTACTTTAACAATATCATCAAAAATAAACTGAAAAGAAAACAGGTGAAATTCTGAGAGCGTGTGTGTGTGTCACAAAACATTCCCACTGAAATGAATCACATTTCAAACAGAAGAAAGGTTTTCAAAACGAAAGCAATGTGACTCTCTTTTTTCACCACCAAAAAAAATCAACTGGTGGCAATACTCCTGTCAACAGGTTATTATTTTTGTTTTCTATAGTCGGAAAACAAAATTTGAAGTATCCCAGACATAAAATCCTGCCAACATTTAGTTGGCTTAAAACAGAAATCATAAAAGTTAAATAAGTTAAAACTCCCGAAAAAATTGGTTTTGACATTTGATATGGCCCTCTTTAAAACGACTTTGACACAATGGCTTGTTTTTGGGAGGAAACCTCAAAATAACCCCAAATTGACCAAAAACAAAAACCTAAGTGAAACGAAAGGAAGTCTTGTTGAACCCCAAACCAAAGAAGTTGGTGTTATGAACTCCCAGTGATGTTGTTGTTGTTGTTGAGGTTTTTGTTACATTGCCGTTGTTAAGTCTTAACAAGTCAGTTGGCCAGACACTCCTTTATTTGTTTCTTGGCTTTCTTCGTTAACCCCGAAACCCTTCACTTCAATTCGCTCAGGCAAACATTTCCAGCCCATCCAACAAAAGTGCATGTTATAATTTCTTATTAAATACCACCTTTTCTTGGATCTTCCAATATTTTTTTTTTGGGGGCGATGTATACCCTACAGCATTTCGAATCGGAAATTG